AATTCAGGAGATAAAGGGTTAATAATCAATGCAATGTCTATTTCATAGTCTTAAGTACGGATTTTTAGTGTTAACACTGGCACCTTAAGTCTCCTGAGGAGACCTTGGATACCAATTTGTGCATTATCTCTGGCACAATAAGTTCCCTGCTGGAACGAAACCAAGAGCAATGAGAGGCTAGTAATATAAAGTCAATGACCGTCACCACTTGTCCACATATGCCCCAGATACCATTTTTAGCTCACCTGTCACAAAGTGACATGGTGAGCTTTTGTGATCGCTTTTCGTCGGGGCGGCTGTCCGTCCGTCCATCCATAAACTTTTAATTTAAACGACATCTCCTTATAAACCACTTAGCCAATTTCATCCAAACTTCACAGGAATGTTCCTTTGGTGGTCAACTTTAAAAATTGTTCAAAGAATTTAATTCCAGGCAGAACTCTGGTTGCCATGGCAACCGTAAGAAAAAAACTTAAAATATCTTCTTTTAGAAAACCACAGGAGCTAGAGCTAAAATATTTGGCATGAAACATCACCTAGTCAGTGTCTACCAAGTTAGTTCAAATAAATGCCCTGGGGTCAAAATTGGCCCTGCCCTGGGGGGGTCATTGATTTCCCTTTTTTGTATATAGTAAAAACTTAAAAAATCTTCTTTTAAATACCCCAAATAGCTAGAGCTTAAATATAAAGCATGAAACATCTTCTAGTAGGTGTCTACCAAGTTTGTTCAAATAAATGCCCTGGGATCAAAATTGGCCCCGTCTACCAAGTTTGTTCAAATAAATGCTTTTGGATCAAAATTGGCCCCGCCCGGGGGGTCAATTGATTTTCCTTACAATTGTATAAAGTAAAAACTAAAAAAATATTTTCTTTAAGAAAACCGCAAGAGCTAGAGCTTAAAAATTTGTCATGAAACATCAACTAGTCAGTGTCTACCAAGTTTGTTCAAATAAATGCCCTGGGGTCAAAATTGGCCCGCCCTGGGGGGTCATTGATTTTCCTTATTTGTATATAGTCAAAACTTAAAATATCTTCTTTTAAAAACCCCAAATAGCTAGAGCTTTAATATTAAGCATGAAACATCTTCTAGTAGGTGTCTACCAAGTTTGTTCAAATAATTGCCCTGGGGTCAAAATTGGCCCCGCCCGGGGGGTGTCATGGATTATCCTTATTTGTATATAGTAAAAACTTAAAAAATATTTTCTTTAAGAAAACAGCAAGAGCTAGAGCTTAAAAATTTGGCATGAAACATCAACTAGTCAGTGTCTACCAAGTTTGTTCAAATACATGCCCTGGGGTCAAAATTGGCTCAGCCCAAGGGGGTCATTGATTTTCCTTTTTTGTATATTGTAAAAACTTAAAATATTTTCTTTTAGAAAACGGCAAGAGCTAGAGCTTAAAAATTTGGCATGAAACATCAACTAGTCAGTGTCTACCAAGTTTGTTCAAATACATGCCCTGGGGTCAAAATTGGCTCAGCCCTAGGGGGTCATTGACTCCTTTTTTGTATTTAGTAAAAACTTAAAATATTTTCTTTTAAAAACCCCAAAGAGTTAAAGCTTAGATATTTATCGTGAAACATATTCTAATGGCTGTCTACCAAGTTTGTTCAAATAAAAGTCCCTGGTTTAAAATTGGCATTGGCCCAGGGGCTTATATACAGGTGAGCGATTTCAGGGCCATCATGGCCCTCTTGTTAGAGTTATTGCAATTGACTTAGTAAAATTTTGCAATTTTCAACTTGTGTCGCATGTAACTCAAAAAGTCTTTGACCTAGAGTCATGAAACTTTACAGGAATGTTGATCAGCATGTGTAGTTGTGCACCTGGATATTTTCATCTGGATATTTTTAGTATTTTTAGAGTTATTGCCCTTGACTTAGTAAAATTTTGCAATTTTCAACTTGTGTCGCATGTAACTCAAAAAGTGTTTGACCTAGAGTCATGAAACTTTACAGGGATATTGATCAGCATGTGTAATTGTGCACCTGGGTATTTTCATCTGGATATTTTTAGTATTTTTAGAGTTATTGGCCTTGACTTAGTAAAATTTTGCAATTTTCAACTTGTGTCGCATGTAACTAAAAAGAATTTGACATAGAGTCATGAAACTTTACAGGAATATTGATCATCATGTGTAGTTGTGCACCTGGGTATTTTCGCCTCGATTTATTTAGTATTTTTAGAGTTATTGCCCTTGACTTAGAAAATATTTGCAATATTCAACTTGTGTCACATGTAACTCAAAAAGGATTTGACATAGAGTCATTAAACCTTTCGGGAAGGTTGCTCAGCATATTTAGTTTTGCACCTGGGGTTTTGCTTGTGGATTTATCCAGTATTTGTAGAGTTATTTCCCTTGATGTAAAAAACCGTTTCATTATGTTGTCATTTGTTCCTTTGAGTGCTTGAGTTAGAATCAACCAACTTTACAGGAATAATGATCAACGTCACTAAATTACAGGAATTCACTGAAGCTATGCACCTAGGACTTTGCATATGGATTTTTTCAGTTTTGTTAGAGTTATTGTCCTTGACTTTCAGTAGTATGAATTTGCACTTTTCAACTTGTTCATGCATAGCTCAAAAAGTATTTCACTTGTAGGCTTGAAAGTTTACAAGAATGTTGGTCAGCATGTGTGTTTATGCACTTGTGGATTTATTCAGTATTTGTAAAGTTCTTGCCCTTAGTAAAAGATTTTTAGTTTTCAAAAAATATTTGACCTAAAGTCATAAGATTGACAGAACAGTGGCGCTGTGGGGGCACCCGTGTCCTTTATACACATTTCTAGTTTGACCTATGAACTGCACAGTCTTGTTATATTAAAGGACCCCTGTGGCTTAATATTTTAGGAGTGTACACAATATCATTTGCCGGTCACCAATGTTGAGTTTGACACCCAGTAGAGGCATTAACTTCTTTCTTGTGAGGAAGCTATCTTATAATGAAGCTTACTTGGGTAAACATAAACGGTTCAAACCAGTTGCCTTACTGTGCCAGAAATATAATATGAAAAAAATATCACTAAAAGTGCCATCACATAAAAACAAAAATGATATAACTTTAAGCAGTATCTGATTTTATATCTTGGTACTATAGTAAAAATGAAAGAAAGAGATGACATTATGATCATTGGATCTTATTGAATTTCATTGGATAAGATTCTAATATAAAAGCATAATACATGTATACATTGTCTGTTATGTACATATTAAATATTTTGTTTGATTGGTATATCTTTTGATCCAGAAAAAATTTATTAATTTGTCATAACTTGAAATGGTAAAAAGTTTATGATTCTACTGGGAAATTCATATCTGGGTGGGAAAGAGAGAATTAAAATGTCTCTTTTTTAATATCAAACTGATAATTCTGCAACAAAATTGCTGATAAATTACGTAGATGATTGTTGTATTCAATTTTAGAATACTTTATTAAATAAATTGTTATTTTCCTTGTATTGTCATATACATATTTGAAATCTCTGTTGTGTTGTTTTAAGAGATAATGAAATTTTCATTAAGTGTTAAATGAGTTCATATATTTATAGTGATTTATTTATATTACCATTTGATAGGTTTTACCTGACTGATGATAAGCCTCATGTGGCCGAAAAATGTTTTGTAATTAAAGATAATTTCTACAGTGTTGCTCAAATTTGATATTAGAAGATATTGATAATTGCTACACTTAGTTCCTTTGTAAATATAGAATAAACATGTTTTAACTTCATACGAATTTGATGTAATGTTTAAAATTCTACACACTAAAGTTAGCAACAATATGAATATATAGTGTCATTTAAAAAGTCTGGCAATTTTTTTAGTTCACCTGTCACAAGTGACATGGTGAGCTTTTCTGATTACTTTTCTTCCGACGTTCAACCGTCATCCCTCCGATGCTGTAAGTCTTCCGTAAACTTTTAATTTAAACGACATCTCCTCATAAACCACTAAGCCAATTTCATTCAAACTTCACAGGAATGGTCCTTTGGTGGTCACCTTTAAAAATTGTTCAAAGAATTTAATTCCATGCAGAACTTAGAAGAAAAAACTTAAAATATCTTCTGTTAAAAAACCCAAAGAGGTAGAGCTTAGATATTTGTCATGAAACATCTTCTAGTGAGTGTCTATCAAGTTTGTGCAAATAAAGGCCCTGGGGTCAAAATTGGCCCCGCCCAAGGGGGTCATAGCTTTTCCTTATATGTTGTAAAGGATTTCGGATAACAACTAGACTTTTCGAGTATGCGCTTCTATATAACTTTTATTTTCATACATCAGCATAAAACAAAGCGATTCTCTGAAACAAATGATAAAGTAATTAACTAATACATTCATTTCTGATATAAACTTAACAAATAAATAATAGAATAGAATAATTAAATAATTATTTCCTATGACGAAGAATCTTAATAAACAGTACAGTTAAAATCCATAAAATAAATAATCGTAACAATTGATTAAAATTAATAAATACTTCATTAGAAAATTCTTTTTATCCGTTAACAAATAAATAAATCAAAATAATTTAAGCAGCTATCATACCGACTATAATGTCTTTCACATCGAAACCTTTCAGCTTTAACGTTTAACGCCGCTACACATAACGGAAGTTACCTTTTAAATTCATAACAAACAATTACGTCAAAACGACGCGCTAAACTGTTCAGCGCGTAACGTTAAATAAATTGGCGCCAAACAACGCTTAACGTAAGAAATATATTATATATTTTAATTAGAATCGGTAATAAACGATTCTTACAGTGCCCTCCATGAAATATCTTAATTTCATCAAATCATTTAATGTCAATTAACAATATATTATCGATACAAAAATGTAAATTGCAACGAACTTCATGTTCATAAGAATGATAATATTCGCATTAAATCACGCATTATATTAAAGTACTTGCTAATGTTAAAACAATCTATTTAATACACAGTATGTATCCTTTTAAACATTAACGTAATCATGGAAATATTTTCAGCGTAATACAATAATTAGTCTGAACATTCTAAAAGGCACAACTTTGTGATTTGCCTTATCATAGCTGAGTCCCTAGTTTGAACTTTACATTTACGAATATGCCCATCCCTACCCTTAATGACTTCGGTTACTCTGCCTAGTGGCCACTGTCCTATAGGAACACTATTGTCTACCACAAGCAAAATGTTATCTACATGTAAGTCTCTATGGCTGAGGCTAACGATTGTCGGCGCACGTTCAGATTCCGGAATCGTATTAAGTACCCTCCGACTGTTGCTTATCCACTTTGTAAGTCTGAAGTCACCTAAGCTCATCTGGGACTGTAAATCTGCTGCAAGTTTAACAGCTTTATCTTCAGATTCTACAGACTTCAGGTAGTCGTCTACGTAAAAGTTTCTCTTTACAGTTGATAATACTGCAGGTTCAAATCTCTCTGCATTGTCAATGGCAGTTTTTCTCAGCGCATACGCAGCGCAGCTCAGAGAAGAAGTTGCTCCAAATAAGTTGACTTTCATACAATAAGTCATGGGTGTTATAGATATATCTCCACCAGGCCACCATAGAAAATGTAGGGCATCACAGTTCTTCTCACATACACGTACCTGATGAAACATTGCCTCTATGTCAGCGGAAAGAGCTATCTTTTCTTGTCGAAATCTGGTTAATACGCCTACAAGGCTGTTCATCATATCAGGACCTTGTAAAAGTTGACTATTTAGTGAAATACCTTTATATTTTGCCGCACAATCAAATACAACACGCACATTTCCGGGCTTATTCACATTTGCTGCAGGATGGTGGGGTAAATACCATATCTGTTCTGAGTTCGTATCCTTATTTGTAACTTCTTTTGCGAACCCTTTATCAATATAGTCTGTCATTGTTTTGGTATACATCTCATGTAACACGTTGTCACGAGAAAGATTTCTTTTCAGGTAATTCAATCGCGCATGCGCAAGCACTAAATTATTCGGCAATTTTGTGTCATCCTGTCGCCATGGTAATCCCATCTCATAGTGTCCATTAACATGAGAAAGTGTAGATTCCATAATTCCAAGTGTTCTCTTATCTTCAACTGACATGGAATTTTTCTCATTATAGGATGCGTCATTGAAGTCTGACGTCCACATACGTTCAAGTTGTTGTTGTAGTATGGCGTCACTTGACTGACCGAAATGAATGTTAATTGGGGTTCTTTTGTTGTCTGTTTTATTATGTTTTGAATTATTGTATGGTATTGGTCCACGAACTGCCCAACCAAGTTGCGTTCTCACAGCATATGGCTCATTACTACTTCCTGTTCGTATCTCTAGGGGAATATGTGCTACCGGTGTATCCGTGCCAATTAGTAACATGACTTCATTAACGTTCACGTTCGGAATATTCAAGTCACTTAAATATGGTATATTTCTAATATCATCGGCAGTAGCTGCAGATCGCGTAGAAATAGGCAATTGTTTTACTGTCCAAACATTGTGAAGCTTCACTTCACTTTCACCGGAAATAGGACTCACAGTTAGGTCAACTTCTTTTCCGTGTATTGCATTCCTTGTTGAATTAACAGTTGAAATCTGGAAAGTAACTGGCCTACTTGATATATTCAGCTTCCTTATAAGCTTTTCGTCACACAGGGTTTTGTCTGCGCCATCGTCAAGCAGGGCATATGTTTGACAGAAGTAACCGTCCCTACCCTTAACAGTTACAGGTATAATCCCCAAACATGTTTTAGAAAATGAGCCATTTGTGGCCGTACAATTTATTGAAGGTTGCGTTACAGATTTATCAGAACCTACCGGGAACCAGCTATGTAATAATGTGTGATGTTTGCTGCTACAATCAGGTATAGTACATGATTTCTCTTTCCTACATTCATTAGACATGTGATTGCGTTTAAGACAATTGAAACACAATCTGTTCTTAACAACATATTTCTTTCTATCTGTTAAAGTCATTTTCTTAAATCTATGACATGACGCTAAGTCTAAGCATGAACCAGAGCAACAATAACATTTTCTTTCGTTCTTGTGTTTATCACTTTCAGTATATGACGACAAGGTAGTTATTTTTCCCTTTAACAGAATTACTAGGCAGACTATGGGGCTGTTTTCTTACTTGGGATGGTACATTTTCTTTAACAATATCAATACCATATACCGAACAAGCAACACGTGATCTTTCTTCAAAATTTCAACAAATCAAAGAATCTCGGCTCTTTGCCTCACTCATAGATTGTATGTGCAATATCTGCCCACTTGGTTCGCATATGCATAGGCAAACGTCTAACAATTCGTCTTAAGTTTTCTGAATTATTTACATCAGAAACAAAACCTAATTGGGATAGGGTCATATGACATCTTTGCATATCTAATGCTAACTTAGATAGTTCGTCAATATCAGACGCTTTAATTTGAGGGCCATACAACAGTTTATCAATGTAATTTCTGGCAATTACATGTGGCCTACCATAACGTGACTGTAAAATAGCTTTAGCTTGTCTGTACCCTTCATTTGAATCTAACAAAACGCAATCTTCAATACATGATTTCGCCTCACCATTACAATATTGAATAAGGTAGCTTAATCTAAGTCTATCATCACTTACTTTTGCCTCTACGTTTGTCTCAAAATTCTTAATAAACTTGCAATAATCTATCGCAGAACCATTAAATGTTAATAATTCGGGCTTTGGTAAGTTAAACCCTTCTTGTAATATTGTTGCTAGTTTCTCAAATGCTGAATTACTGCTATCACTCGAACCGGAAGTTAAGGTATTGTCTGTCTTACCATTAAATCTTGACTGTTCTGTAACCTTAGATACGGGCTCACCATCAAATCTGTTCTGTAAAAACACATGAGATCCTGCACTAGCTGAAGTATCACGTGGTACATTTGTGTGACGGGAAGTAGAAGCATCTATGACACGTTCATTTTCCTGATGCGTCTGTTCCGTAATTCGTGCACTTACTGGAATTTCTTCGTTACTCTCAGTAAAAACTGACTCCTCAATTCTAGCAATTTCTATCTCGCTCTCCTGTTCTAATAGTTCTCGTTCATTCTCTATTTCCTTTTGCTGCCGTTCAAGTCTCTGTTTTTCTCTCATCATTTTCAAACGATGTTCTGCAACTAGTCGCTTTGCTTTTGCGTTTTGCATAGCTGCACGTGATGACTGTACCGAACTAGCTCTCGTGCGCACAGACACGTTATCATCGTCTGCTGCCGAATCTAAACATTTAATCCACTCCGTATAGTGTTCCTTACATTCAACAAAATTGTTTTGCTGGCTTATATAACTATTTTCTAAAGTCTCAAAAGTTTCCGTATCTTTGCACAAATCCATACATTGTAAATGTACTGTTTTGAAAAGTTCGTATCTATTACATAGACGGTCATATAATTCTTTCACTTTTTCTGTATTTTCATAAGACACCATCTGTTTTTCAATTTCATTGTAAATCTTTGTCAGTTGTGAAAGATGTGCTGTTCGCGTTTTCCTTGCACTCATAAAATCTGTTTGCTCCATAGTTTATAACACTTTTAGAGTTATTGATTTATCATCACACGAATTCACTTGTATTAATAGTAAGTATCTTTATCTAATTTCTTCAAATTTAGTAATTAGAAACCTCTGTCACATACCGCTTATTCTTCTGTCAATATAGGTAATTTCTTTTCCATGAATCTGTAATTTCTCATCCACAAATATCAAACTTCTAGTCCATCACGATGACTAGTCGAGAATTGTAAAGGATTTCGGATAACAACTAGACTTTTCGAGTATGCGCTTCTATATATCTTTTATTTTCACACATCAGCATAAAAACAAAGCGATTCTCTGAAACAAATGATAAAGTAATTAACTAATACATTCATTTCTGATATAAACTTAACAAATAAATAATAGAATAGAATAATTAAATAATTATTTCCTATGACGAAGAATCTTAATAAACAGAAGTACAGTTAAAATCCATAAAATAAATAATCGTAACAATTGATTAAAATTAATAAATACTTCATTAGAAATTCTTTTTATCCGTTAACAAATAAATAAATCAAAATAATTTAAGCAGCTATCATACCGACTATAATGTCTTTCACATCGAAACCTTTAAATACAGTTTCAGCTTTAACGTTTAACGCCGCTACACATAACGGAAGTTACCTTTTAAATTCATAACAAACAATTACGTCAAAACGACGCGCTAAACTGTTCAGCGCGTAACGTTAAATAAATTGGCGCCAAACAACGCTTAACGTAAGAAATATATTATATATTTTAATTAGAATCGGTAATAAACGATTCTTACATATGTATATAGTAAAACCTTAAAAAATCTTCTTTTAAAAAATGTATATAGTAAAATTTTAAAAAGTCTTCTTTTAAAAAACCCAAAGATGTAGAGCTTAGAAACATTTTCTAGTGAGTGTCTATCAAGTTTGTTCAAATAAAAGCCCTGGGATCAAAATTGACCCCGCCCCAGTAAAAACTTAAAAAAGTCTTCTTTAAAAACACTTAAAGAGCTAGAGCTTAAATATTTGGCATTAAACATTGTCTGATGAGTGTCTACCAAGTTTGTGCTAATAAAAGCCCTGGGGGTCAAAATTGGCCCTGCCCCGGGGGGTCATTGATTTTCCTAATATGTAAAAGTATGAAACATCTTCTGGTGAGTATCTACCAAGTTTGTTCAAATAAAAGCCCTGGGATCAAAATTGACCCCGTTTCAATGATTTTCCTTATAATTATGTATATAGTAAAAACTTAAAAAATCTGAAAGAGCTAGAGCTTAAATATTTGGCATTAAACTTTGTCTGATGAGTGTCTACCAAATTTGTTCAAATAAAAACCCTGGGGTCAAAATTGGCCCCGCCCCGGGGTGTCATTGATTTTCCTTATATGTATATAGTAAAGACTTAAAAAATATACTTTAAAAAGAAACAAAAGAGCTAGAGCTTAAATATTTGGCATGAAACATCATCTAGTGAGTGTCTATCAAGTTTGTCCAAATAAAGTCCCTGGGGTCAAAATTAGCCCCACCCTGGGGGGTCATTGATTTTCCTTATATGTATATAGTAAAAACTTAAAAAAATCTTCTTTTTAAGAGCTTAGATAATTATAAAGCATAAAACATCTTCTGGTGAGTGTCTACCAAGTTTGTTGAAATAAAAGCCCTGGGATCAAAATTGACCCCGCCCCGGGGTTCTGGTTTTCCTTATATGCCTATAGTTAAAACTTAAAAAATCTTCTTTTAAATAACCCATAGAGCTAGAGCTTAAATATTAAACATGAAATATCTTCTAGTGAGTGTCAACCAAATTTGTTCAAATAAAAGCCCCAGGATTAAATTTGCCCTGACCGGAGTTCTGCTTTTCCATTTATGTCTTAGTTATACTTAAAAAATCTTCTTTTGAAAACCCCTAGAGCTAGAACTTAGATATTAGTAAGTAAGTATGTAAGTAACGTCTTTATTAGTCCCCTACCGGTTTACCGGAGGGGACTTTAGGCTTACCCTCCGTCCGTCTGTCCGTCCGTCCGTCTGTCTGTCAGTCCGTCCGTCCACAAAACTGGATCCCGCGATAACTTGAAAAGTACTGAATATATTTTTATGAAACTTGATATATGGATAGATGGCAGTATGGAGATTATGCACGTCTTTTTCTTTTCTTCCTATGTTGAAAATTCTGGTTGCTATGGCAACAAATAGGCTGAAATATGGCAAATTTTACACATAAACTGGATCCAGTGATAACGCAAAAAGTACTGGAAATATTTTTATGAAACTTAATATATGGATAGATGGCAGTATGGAGATTATGCACGTCTTTTTCTTTTCTTCCTATGTTGAAAATTCTGGTTGCTATGGCAACAAATAGACTGAAAATATGGCAATTTTTACACATAAACTGGATCCAGTGTTAACGCAAAAAGTAATAGAAATATTTTTATGAAACTTGTAATATGTGTAGATGGCAGTCTGGAGTTTATACACGTCCTTTTCTTTTCTTCCTATGTTGAAAATTCTGGTTGCTATGACTGAAAATATGGCAAATTTTACACATAAACTGAATCCAGTGATAACTCAAAAAGTACTGGAAATATTTTTATGAAACTTGACATATGGGTAGATGGCAGTCTTGAGATTATGCATGTCTTATCTGTTCTTCCTATTTTGAAAAAATATTGGTTGCCTTGGCAACAAATAGGCTTAAAACATGGCAAATATAACAATATTTGTGATTAGTCAAAAAGAGCTGAAACATTTTATGAAATTGCATCTTTGATTCCAGAGTTATCTCCTCTTTAAGAATTTTGCTTTTTAAAATGTTATATTTTGGTAACAGGGATGTTTCAAATATTAACTTTAGAGTGTCCTTCAGTCCGTCTGTCTGTCTGTTCATAAAAACTTTTACCTGTGATCACTTTTAAAGAACATTTCCAACAAATTTACTTAAAATAGAGAAAAATTTACACATTAGTGAATGGCCAATGGCCCTTCAGAATGCTGATGGGGTTCTATCCGGTAGGGGACTTATGGATTGCTTGCAATACTATGATAATTGCTTGTTTTATGAGGCTAACACATTCAGTTTCCCGATCTTCCATGCGGGCCTCAGTTTATACAAAACAACATAAAATGCAATCACAATCAACATTTAGACAACATAAATATGTACATTAAACATCATATCAATACAATAATACAATAAGTAAACAATATTTTCTTCTTACATAGAGAAGTGACATTTTCATAACTTCAGCATGGAAAGTATATGTTTTGAAACAATTAGTTAGAAAATTGCCACTGGATATAGGATTGAAATTTCCTCAGGGTATCAGAATTTCAAATATGTATTGGTATGCTGTTCCCTACTTCAGGACCAGAGTAATTAAACATTTTTCTAAAAAAAATCTGTTTTTGGTTGGGTACAGTTAGTTTTTCATTTTGTAGCGATC